TACCGAGGAAGATTTAATACTATTTAGCTTTAGAGCAATGAATAGTTATTCTATTTTTTTCGTTCTGTTAGTTTTTTTTTGTCGCTTTTCCATCATCGTCATCTATTAAATAATGTGCAGCTTTGTTAAAATTTGTCCCGATAATTTAATAATCTCACTTGTAGACTGGTAGAAATCCGCTAGACGTCTTTGTCCACACGTTCCGCGGATTTTCAAATTAAAGAGAAGTGTTATTAACATAAAATATCTTAGAAGTAATTTCAGTCTTCATTTTTATAAATTCAAATAATTATGTATAGAAAGAACAATTTGTGTAATGGTGTAGTGATTACTTATATTAGACTTGAAGTGTGTACCATTGCTTATAACATATAACATTTAGATCAGTTTCAATAGGCTTTTTAATTTTTATATAAGACATCAGCAACTGCTAAATCTATGTGAATAGCACAGTTGATTAATTATAAGTGATTAGTGTGTGATTTTTCATAATAGCAGCACCATCATTTGTATCGGTTGCTATATCGAAGTTGAAAAATTGTAGTCTATCAGAAACCAGAACAAATCTATGAAAATTAATCCTAAATTAAAATGGTGACATTAGTATTCAAATATCTGCGATGTCTATTCATCTAAAGTTATAGAAAACAAATCCCATCCTTTTTCATTAAATCTAATTCTTTTTATGGTTTCATATTTTGCAGTTTCATACAATGAATAAGATTCAGAGAGTTGTTTTGTAGTAAGAAATATCCATGTTGTTGCAAAGATTCTTGTGTGAAATATTTTCTTCTAAACTGCTCGTTTTCACAAAATTAAAAATGCTGGTTTGTTCCACAAAGAAGATGGAATCAGTGTTTCTTGTTGATCGATTGATTCTGATCTTTTGTCGATTATTATTTTATGAACTGCTTTCACATGATTATGGAGGTTGCTCCTAGATGATCCTTTGCAGTTCAACAATTTACGACAATAATTACATCACGCCTTGTCTTTCTCAACTTTTTTGAAATTGTTCCTAACTTTTGACTTATTTGAAGAACTCATTTTAAAGCGTGCACACAAACGTCGTATTCATCACTAATGTTGCCCGACGTTTTTTCATTGTTTCGAGATGAAGGAGGAATTTGGATTGTGTCATTTTATTGGAGGTTAGCAGCGCGTTCAAAGAAATATACTGTTTACCAGACCTGCCCCATCTTATGTGGCCAAAAGCCCTCTTATAGTCAACGAACATACCCATGAACATCCTGGAGGGGTTAGTCTCTACCGACTCTGTGAGCTCGCACATGGCGGTCTCAGTGGACTTATCCTTAACAAAACAGTGCTGGATCGCAAAATGGGGGCCGTAAATCTCCTTAGTCTGTCCAATCATGAGCCTCTCCAGAATTTTACCCATGACAGGCAGCAAGCAAACTGGCCTGTAGGACATCTGAGGGTGGCTTGTTCCCCGGCTTCCTCAAAATTACCAGATTACCTTTTCTCCATCTCAGGAAACACAGCTTTATATATATACTGAGAAGAATGTCCGGTCTAACTTTGTGTAATACTCTGACCATCTCGGGCCCGGTTGCCCTTTTCTTCATTGGCTTGCCCACTAATCTCTCCAGTTCAACTGGATCAATCATCCGTGTTATCTCATGCAAACCAATTCTCTTTCTTGCATCATTTAATCTGTCCGGCTCATCATCGTCCGGAAAGGTGTGCCGGATAAACTCATTCACACTGTTGCCCCAGTCATTCGTACACTCACCCTGTGCAGTGATCAAAGCAGGATCAAAAAGCGACGTTGCTATGAACGCTTGGCCGCCACAAGCCAGTTATCCCTGTGGTAACTTTTCTGACACCTCTTGCTAAAAACTCATTAAAGCCAAAAGGATCGATAGGCCCCGCTTCTATGCGATCGATAGGCTTCTATGCGTACTGAACATCGGGATCAAGCCAGCATTTGTCCTATTGCTCTAGGCTAGGTTTCTGTCCTAGCTGAGCTGACCTTAGGACACCTGTGTTATTATTTGACAGATGTACCGCCCCAGTCAAACTCCCCGCCTGGCAGTGTCCTCGAATCGGGTCGCGCGAGAGACGTAACGG